GTGAAGATGCTTTTACTGGCATCGACATGTGAAGATCAAGTCTTTCGCTTGTTTCCGCCAGAAGTGACGGGGCACACTCAGTGCGGGGAAGCCAGTTTGTTATGACCATTCGATATGCTAGACATGCACCTGACAGGTGCAATAGCTTCGTTCATCCAAGAAGCGTCACTCTGGTGGAACAGAGATGGGCTTTTTGGCGAGGGGTTGAGAGGTACCACCCTTCTCACTCGTGTTTCCTTCCCACAACGAGGCCATAGTCTGTATTGGTGTTTTCTCGATTCGAACAAGTTATATCAGAATTGCAGCGATGGACAGGATGCATGGGATAGAAAATCACAGTTTGAGCCCGGGTGATCTTTGAAAGGTTTACTTGCGTTCTCACGGAATGGAGGATCACTTCTAGGTTGATACAGACCAGAAGCAGAGGGTTCGGCCCATTCCCATTGCAACTCAGGTGCCGTTTGCACGGATACAAGTTACCCCAGAGTATCACATGTAGTTCGACAAATGACAAGGCGATTTCCGGAGGAATTTCTTGGACCCCTGGGTGTTTCTCAAGCCCAGGGACCGATGCCTTCAGATCCGTTCCGGAGGCCTGGGGGAGTCCCTGCTGCGGTTCCTGCCGCTGGTGCTGCCGGTGTGGACGGCTTTGGGTCCCAGTCCGAGGGTTGGCAACTCGTTTGGAGGGTTTGAGCCGGGTATTTCAAGAAAAGGCCGTTTTCAGACGGAGAGTTAGGGTCTATGGCCAACCCCTCCCCTGTCTTGGTTGGTGCCCACTCCATTCCCCTCAGCTCAGCTTCTGCGACCTGCTCATGGCAGGCAGTTGGGAGCTGTTTTTGCCAGCGAGGCAGGTGCAGAGGTCAGAACTGATTGATCGCTCACGCAGGTCTTGCCAATTAGACAGCCACATAGACATGAGTTTTTGGGCCAATCTTGCTGTCGATGTTGGACCCACATTGGAGGGATCAGAGCGAAAATGCAGATCTTCCAATCTTCTGCCGTAGGCTGTGTGCACATGAATGGGAGTTGTACGTTTCTTGAGCTATCTTGATTTCTTCGCCTGATCCGCAACATGTTTTCTCCCAAAAAACAGTGTGCAGTGAAGGGTTGCATGCAAGTGGGAATCGAAGCCCTTTGAAATGGCGTCCCCCGTTTGGAGACCTGCGTCATGAACCCGGCCACGCGCTCTGAGGTGTTGATGCTCTATAGTCTTTATCGGCGCCCGGCCGTCCGGGGGAACAGCCCGGCGCGGGCCTCGATGGGGCGAGCTCTGTATCTGAGGGGCATCAAAGATGGGTGCTTAGGTTTTGCCCGGGCTTGGTCAGTCAGCATCGCATGTGCCTAGCGTTTGTTCCTCAATCACAAGTCATATGCATTTGTAGTTGTATGGGAGCTCTCGTCATTTTCCCGGCATGTCTTCAATCACGAGCACGTGCCCTTTGTAACTTCATATCATTTGCGTTTGGATGTTGAATGGGAGTTCTCCGCATGTGGCGTGACGAGGGCCTCCTCCTGGTCAGATGCCGAAGCTTTAGCTTCTTCATTGCTTACGGTTGGCAAAGATTGGGAAGTTGCGCAGCGTGTGTAGCTCTTCAGAGAGTTGTGGTGCTTACCACATGCTATGCATCGCGCAACACAATTTCAGTCGTCTTTTGCTTGGCTTTGTTTTCTAGCAGACAGCTTGCTTTCCAACGCCTGAATGTCTCTGAAGGCATGATTCAGAGCTTGCTTGCCAAGCTCTGTGCAGGCATTTCTGTCTTTTGGACGTAGACTCCAACCAGAGCCTCACAGACCGTCGAAAACTGGTTTCTAATCCAGAGCCCGGGTCCACTTATGGTCCCAAACACCGGGATATGCTTTCCCTTTCTGCTTTCACAGCCTCAAAACGGCTGCAGCTGTGGCCAGATGGACAAGATCTACTGGGACGAGTATGACCGTGCCTGGGCGCAAGATGCCTATGGTACGCTCGGGCGGCCCAGAGGGTTTGTTGCCATGGGTCCTGTTGGTCCCTCAGTTTGGCAGGCTCTGCGGTATCACTTCTTACTGGTCCCCTATTGGTTTCTCTCACCAATATTGAAAAGCTCAGCGATTTCGTTGCCATTTTTTAAAGCAAAGGAAGATTGCAGTGTTCATGCTGCAAGGAACATGCTCGGCTTGATTGCACAGAGACATTGTTGACACCACGGCTAATGCAGTGGCTAAAGCCATAGACTCGAACTGGAAGGTAAGAATAATTTTTGGCTGAAAGAACAAAGCTCCAACAGGACCAGCTAGCCCTGCAAAAGTCATGTTTGGATGCACTTGGTTGTGAGTCATGAATACAACCTGCCCTCCCAGCAAGAAATGGTCTTGCAAAGATCCCTGTAAGACTACTCTCCTTTGGGAAAACGAGTCTGTGCACTTCCATGCCTGCCGGAGGGTATCAGCTCGGCGGCTGTGTCGAGATGAATTCGGCCTCAGGTTTCATCGCCTTCCTGATTTGGACAGACTGCGCTAGCTCCGGGAGATTTTCAGCTCTCTCCGAGGGGCGAGTTTTCTTGCGGATGTGTGCGCATTCTGTTGGGGTTGAAACGGGGCAGTCCTTCTGTTGCTTTTTTCAGTGGGGGAAAAGCTGGCTTTCCTTCCAGAGGAGAACCCAGAATCCATGTCAACTACCACCTAAAGGTGATTCTGATATATATATATATATATGTTGCAAAGGGATCATGTTTGGCTTCAAGCCTACTGAAGCTTTTGCCAAGGTTGTGACAAGATACCACCTTTCTTGAAGTTCCACCGTGTGCCACTTGTGTGTTTGTGTGAGGGTACGCCTTCTGGGTTGTTTTTAGGGGAAGGCTCCGAGGCAAGACGGTGGGGAGTTGCCAACACGTTGCGATTGCCTCGTTTGGGCGTGCCTTTTCGGAGGCGGAAACCTGCTGGTTTTAGGGGAAATTATAGAAAGCCCACGTGTCCGCAGCGGCAAACCCGTTCAGACACAAAGCCACGTTGTACAACTCGCCTCTGGGAGGATAGGAGCGGTGCTGCCAAGCAGCCAGCTTCCATGTGTCGCCGAAAGAGGAATCTGATTGACCCAATGCGACATTCTTGCGTCAACCAGTTTTGATCCATTTTTTTTGGGGTCCCCTGCCCAAAGGCATATCTCTTGTTTCTTTCTTGGTCAGGGATGGAAGGGCATGCTTTTTAAGTGTGCACACGGAGGAGAACAGAACAGTTTTTCTCTCGTTTCTATAGCATGTATTTCTTTTGGCCTTGTTAGCGCTATTGGCATGGACCATATCTTTGCACAGTTGAGTGCAGTTAACTCAAGCCTTTGCGTTTGCTCAAAATGATCCTGGGACCCAGCACTTTAGAGAGGTCCTCAGAGCCGATTCGATCAGTTCCTAAGGTTCCCAACCTTTCATGGGGGAGTGGCGGGGGGCTGTGGGGGGGCTTTTCGCACCCAGACAGTTGAAGAGTGAGTTTTGCAGTTTTGCCCCTTTCGGTGACAATCCGCGAAGGACACTTGCGTCAAGTGGACAAAAATAGGTCTCTCTCCCACGGCCATGGCTATGAGATTTTGGAGCACCCTCAACAAATAGTTGGTGGACAAGAAAACATGTAGTTCTGATGTCCAAAAAAGGGGTGCCTCGCCAACCAACACCAATTCCCGTGTGGCAAAGATGCCGTGGCTTTCCCGAGGGTCGTCCTATGTCTTGGGTGTCTGAACGCCGGCCTTGTAAGCCGAAGAGTGCACAGTGAACGCGTACAGTGTCGCCGAGGGCAGGTTGCCGCGCGTACGCAAAAGATGGCTCCGTGCTTCAAGAAGTGGTTGGTGTGTGCAATACCACGGCTCTTCACTCTTGATCCGTCGCGAAACGTGAAGGCGAAGTATTGATCCCCCACGAAGTCCCCATCGCCGAGGTGCTGTAGGTTTCAGATGTATGCGTGTTGTCTGTTGCGCCATGTACTTTGCCCATGATGCAAGTCATTTCCTGTGCCGCCAGGAACTTGAGGATCCCTTGGATTCCACTTGTGGTGTGCTGAACGGAGTACCCGCCTCCCTTGCGGCGAAGCACACTTCGACTTGCTCGGGGGCTCATCAAATCGTGAGCCTCAGCTTGGGTTTCGGGAAAAAGCTCCACCTTCAGGTCCCTTTCGAGAAATTTCAGGTTGGATTCCATCCATTTCTTGACGGTTTCGGCAGGCCGGTGGGCCCAGAACTCCATTGGTTTGCCCCTGTGACTGGTGGGTGCGAGAGATGCAGGAATGAGAAATGGAATGACCCCGAGATAAACCGTCCAACTGCTGGTTTCCATTGTTCGGGGATCCCTGGGTTCGTTCCCACATTCCCCACCTATCGCACCAGCAATTTGGCGAGTCAAAAGCCAAATCGGTTAGCCCCTAGTGAACATCCGATTCAATCCAACCACTAAAATAGGTTCTAAGGTGGTAAATTCACCAATCCCAACCAAAATGGGATCCCAAAACGGTTGTGACAACCATAGCCAGTTGACTGCGGACCGAAGGAGGGAACTAAGGACCGAAAGCCATGGCCAGCCGGGCCCCACGGTTTTTCCCCGAACCGACGCCCCAAACCGAGCGGGGCTATCTACTTGGTTGCTTTGGGTTGGATATGCACCATTCACTTTTTGGGACATTGTGTGTGTGGTTCCCCACGAATCAACGAACATTTTTTGGTGCAGGGGGCAATAGCCACAAAAGTCAGGTCTTGAAAGGGATGGAACATTTTGCAGTTTCTTTCAAAGCTTGTCAGGGATCTTGGAACAGTATGGAATGGGCTTAAGACAAGCAGCCGAGGGGCAAGTGCCCAGCAGCGTCAGTCGTTGGGCTTCTGTTTCTCACTTCTTTGACCCCCCTGGCGGCCGGATTTTGCTCCGCAGCCGTTGATGGACTCAGTGGCTGCAGTGACTTTCATTCTCAACGTGTTCGGTTCATCAGCACTGCCTCTAGCTACCTTGAGCCTTGACCACAGAAGAACGCAACGTGACCTCTACTTGCAACTTTCCAAGCTTCTAATTGCCAATTCATCGCCCCGGTGCTCCGATATGGCGGCACCTTGGTTTTGAACACTGGGGAAGGGCGCCGAAGAGTGGCAGGATGTTCCTTTTTCTGGGATTTAAACATGGAATCCGGGAAAACAAGCACGGGACGGCCCAGAATGCCATGGAGTGACTTGTTCATCGCGGTATTTGAACACTGGCAAATTCGCTGAGACAGTGAAGCTGCCGGATTCGATCACCGCAGTTGCTCCTTCCCTCCATCCAAGGAAGTCAATCAGGCAGTAACCATGAGCCTTTGTGTACTGAGGTTCTTTTCCATGTCCTTTCTCCATATGAAACATGTGCAATTTGCGCGGTTCCTAGTTTTGCACTTCCGCCGGGCTTTTAGGTGGAGGATTTTGGGGTTATTCGCTTGGTTTCAGCAAGACTTCGACCGATCAAGAGCACACAAATAGGCGGGGAATTTCAGGAAAGGGGAAAGGCCGAAAGCCAAAAAGCCCAACTTTCCTGCATCAAGCCCACGCCATGCCATTTTTTTCGATTTGGGTGTTTTTCAATGCAAATGGGTTGTCTCCTGTTGAGTTTTCCCTTTGACACCCCAAAGGGGGTCCACCTTGAGAGAACCACCACGTCCTCTATGCGCCGAATCGCTTCGAGGATGTGGAACAGAAGGACATCGAGGCGAGTCGTATCGGCCGGCTGGCCGGCGAAGGTGGTGGGGTCAGGACGTCCATGGGTTGAACTGGAACAATTGTAACCAGGGGTTTGGACTCCCCGCAATTGGGGCCCAGTGGGCCCCGACGTCCTCCGAGCCCAAATTGCAGCCAGGGTGAATGCGGGAGCCCCTGGGAGCATACTCACTCAATGGATCACCAAAGGTTTTTTGGTTTAGTCACTCGCGTTGAATTCTTGTCTGTTTCCTTCCCGCGGCGGGTTGTCGAACTACTTACCCATCTAGTCTGTCATGAAAGCCTGTCAGGATTTGAATGCAGCCAAAAGGGGAGGGGAGCGCATCATTTTGACACGTCCACCAACGACTCATGAAGAATATTGACAAGAAACTGCTCTTGACAAGGGCACACACTGTGTGATCGCGCAAGGTTGCACGGGATGATCAGGAGAGGATCAACAAATTCAGCCGACTGACGCCTGGATGCATCATGGTAATGGCCTGGGAGTGACGCAGTTCTCCCCGGGCTTTTTTGGGCTTGGTTTGTTGTGGCGAGCCACGGGCGAAAGTACCTCTCAGCGGCTTGTTCTCGGCGTACCCGCACACACACACATACAGAAAGCAACTTGAAGACGACCCTCAGCGACGTCCAAGTAGGAACAATTCTTCACGGGCCACGTGCACCTTGCCGCGTGGCAAATCGCGCGATCAAGCATGGGTTTAGAGAAGACGTCACCCGTTGAAACCCCACCAGTTCAACCCGCATGGCTCGTCTTTCTGTGATCGGACAGTTGAAAGGCAGGTCAAAGCTGTGAACTGAGGATGCATGGGATACTGTGGCTTTGCCGAGATAGGAACCCACAAAAGGAGGGGGGGTGGTTACCCCTCATGTTTCCCTTGAACGTATGCCTAAAAAGGGTACTGTCAAAAAAGGAGCTCCATATGGCAGCAGACAGTGCGAGTTTCCTTCGGCCCAGGAACATGAAGTGCCTTGGCTGCATGCGATAGGCGGCTCTCAAGAGCCATTTTTCAGGTTTTGGGCGCTTGCATACGCATGCCTTGCGCCACGAAGCAAGTGAGCATGACGCAATTCCCTGACTTTTGCTCCATGGAGAACATAACGTCTGCCGAGTTTGTACTGGATGTCTCCATTGTTTGTGCAGCACATGAGCTGCTCATGGCATTCACATCGCTTTGAAGCCCCAGCAAACCGTGCTGTGATCCAGGGATGAGTGAAGAAGTTTACGTTTTTAGCCCTGTCCTTGAAAGAGAGAGATAGAGATAGAGAGGTCTGCCTTTGCTCAGCTGGGATCAGCCGGGATGTGCGTGACATGAACTAGTGAGGGAGCCTCAGTGCGGGATCAGGTACGATGAGCTAGATGAGGAAATCACCACCATGAAGAGTGAGGTTCAAAACTACAAGGCCCCAGTGGGCCGGGATCTTGCTTGAGTCGAGCAGATGGTCAACTTGAAGGGCTGATAGTGCGGCCTGTGGATTCGCAAGTGATTTGATCCCCTGCACAGATTCCGCACAACACGGACACTGCGAACAATGGCCAGTGCTACGCACATCATGGACACTGCACATCTACAGGTTTTGTGCGCCCTGCGCATGACTAGCCCCCTACAACCTTGCGAGCGCTTGTGCCCAGTCCATGCGCCGTCCGTGCATTCCCCACACGGGTGCATTTGATGAACCGCGCGGAACCTCCCCCGCTGGCATGGGCATTACACACCCTTACTGTTCACACTCCGCCCACCAGCTCGCACTCCATGTGCGGAACCTTGCCCACACCAAGGCATGCCTCTGGCAGCATATGGCCATGGGTCAAAATCCCGTACCCCCAGTGAACATCCCAATCCCCACTAAAATCGGTTCTAAAATGGGTGGTGCACCTACCCCAAAATGGTACCATTGGTTTTGACCCATAGCCATATTTTGCGCCCCACAGAAGCTGCAGCTTTATGCAGGCGCAGGCGCTGGAGTACTGAGCATTCAAGCCAGAAGGGCAACCATGCACGCGTCACAAGGAAACAAGAAACCAAAAACACAGAAACACAGAAATTACTTCGCTTCGAGCAATCCCCACCCTCCACACTCACGAGCTTACGGGTTCTGTGAAGTCAAGCATGGTTTTCGAGTGGCCTGGGGCCTATGACTGCTCAACAAGCTTTGCATTGAGAGCCTTATCCACCTGTTTGTGTGTCAAACTCCACTTGTCTGCGAGCCGATCTCGAGAACTCAATCATCGGTTCCGTTAACAAAAGCCAAGCCCCTTCCAAAAAGAAACCCGGCGGGGGATTAAACGAAGTTGCTTATTCACAGCCCAAAGCAACACAAAAGCATTACCCTTTCGGAGCCTCAAGGTACACTCAAAACACGAAGGCGCCAACATGAAATGTAAGCCCAACTGTGCGCCGGACGGGACATGAAGCAAAACCAGACTGGCGAGCTGCTCTGGCGGGATACTGGCGGGATCCACTGGCGAGCAGCTCTGGCGGGATACTGTGCGGGATCCACTGGCAAGCAGCTCTGGCGGGATACTGAAGAAAGAAAGAAAGAGAAGACAAGACAAGGCAAGGCAAGACAGACAAGACAAGAAAGAAAGAAAACAACTCAAGCAAAGAAAGAAAGCAAATACAGAAAGCAAAGAAACAAAGCAAAGAAACAAACCAAATAAAGAAAGCAAGTAAACTAAAGAAATAAAACAAGGAAGGCAGGAAGGAAGAAAGAAGAAGTAAAGAAAGAAAGGCAGAAACGAGGAGGCAAAGAAGCAATGAAGCAATAAAACGAGGAAGCACGGACGCAAGGAAGCAAGGAAGCAAAGAAGCAAAGAAGCAAAGAAGCAAAGAAGCAAAGCAACAAAGAAACAAGGCAGCAAAGAAGCAAAGAAGCAAAGAGGCAAATAAACAAAGAAACAATGATACAAAGAGGCAAAGAAACAAAGAAACAAAGATACAAAGAGGCAACGCAACGAAGAAACACAGACACAAGCACACAAGCACACACACACACACAAACACAATTACAAACACACAGCCGCGCAAACACACACACACACACCCACAAACACACAAACACACAAAAACAGAAGCACCAAAAAAAACACACACAGGGAAACACAAGCACAAACACATGCACATGCACATACACACACACACACACACGCACGCACACTTGGACTTGCTCCTCACCAAACAACAAAACACACACACACACGCCACAGAAACCACATCACCAGACATCCCAAGAACTGACACCCCCATCGCGCACCAGAGCTTCCAGTGCCAGGACGCTGTGGAGGAGATCGAAGGCCTGGGTGAGACTTGCGAGCCTAGAATCCGAGGGTGTGTACGTGCTTTTAAGGGTAACCTTTTTGGCGTTCTTGTTAAATTCAACAGAAATCCGAACCCATTCCATATTCGGACCAACAACCCAACCAAGTATTCTAAGAGGACCAACCACAAACCAGGAAATACTAGTACATGGCGGAGCCGGGTTGCACCCTTAAACTTATTCTCGTACTTGCAGTACCTAGATCCTTGTGGCCTGCCTTTTTGGAATGCATGAATCTCAAGTGCTTCCGAGATGGAACCCAGCCGGCTCAACCGAAGGAGCACACAGACCATCCTCGCACCAAATTCCCCTCCACCCGGCCACGGCCAGGGATCAGGGTGGACTTCAGAAGACAAACACGGATCTCGCATGTCAGTGCAGAAGCCGCCCATGTTTCGTGTGAGATTACCTGTGGCTTTCGTGGTTTTCACTGGCCGTTTTCCGGCTGAATCAGGGAACCTACAAACATAAAAATAGGCGTCCCTTGTTTTCAGAGGTCTGGACCGCTACGTAGCGCTTTTTTGTTGTCCCAATCCAAAACTTCTGCATAATTTGGGGTGCTTAACAGGCCTCATGTTGGTGTGTGAAACAACTGGCCCCTTCTTCTTTTCCCATTTCTAGAGATTCTTTGTGGAACCCTTCCCCAAACCTGATTCGGCAGGCTGCATGGAGGAGAATGGGGTCATGATGAAGGTGGGTGAGGCCTATACTCTGGTGGAGGAGGAGAGAAATCAGCCTGTCTGTCCAAATGGTGCATCCCCAAAGGACTGGTGGGGGTCGGCCTTAAGAAATAGTACCTCGAATTAACCAACCCCGCAAAGAATATCAAGAAAAGGCACCGCCCACGCGGACTTTTGATGGGGCTGGCTTGCCATCTGGTTTGAGCATGGCGATGACTCCTTGGGTTCCGGATGGCCTAAGTCTCTCTGTCGATGGGTCGGAGCCTCTAGGGCCCGACCAAAGATAGCTCTGCGTTTGGTTTGATGTGGCTGGACTATTGGGAACAAGATAATACACCGCCCAGCTGAGACACATTTCAGGTGGAGTGGACAGATGAAGCACTTTTCCACGACAATGCATCTCCCATGTGGAAGTTTCAATGTCTGCGCGCACGCAGAGGAATCAGCTTTGCACGGATACTTTCAGGGATAGGGTTCCATCCCGCGAAAGAGCAGCCGTGCTGGACATCAGGTACGTGACAATGTTGGAGCAAGGGCGCCGCCCAAAGGGACCACAGAGCAACGAAACCAAGTCTCTCGGAGCGGGGACCTTTTGAAGCAGAGGTGTGCAGTGATGGCATGGGCTCAGTCATCCAATTGAAGTTGCTGCCTTTGAAATGGAAGGGAGCATCATACTCTACACACAAACACACACACAGACACAGACACAGACACACACACACACACACACACACACACACACACACACACACACACACACACACACACACACACACACACACACACACACACACACACACACACACACACACACACACACACACACACACACACACACACACACACACACACACACACACACACACACACACACACACACACACACACACACACACACACACACACACACACACACACACACACACACACACACACACACACACACACACACACACACACACACACCACACACACACAAACACACACACACACACACACACACACACACACACACACACACACACACACACACACACACACACACACACACACACACACACACACACACACACACACACACACACACACACACACACACACACACACACACACACCACAAACACACACACACACACACACACACACACACACACACACACACACACACACACACACACACACACACACACACACACACACACACACACACGAACGCACGCACGCACGCACGCACGCACGCACGCACGCACGCACGCACGCACGCACGCACGCACGCACGCACGCACGCACGCACGCACGCACGCACGCACGCACGCACGCACCCCCACACACACACACACACACACACACACACACACACACACACACACGCACGCACGCACGCACGCACGCACGCACGCACGCACGCACGCACGAACGCACGCACGCACGCACGCACGCACGCACGCACGCACGCACGCACGCACGCACGCACGCACGCACGCACGCACGCACGCACGCACGCACGCCACGCACGCACGCACGCACGCACGCACGCACGCACGCACGCACGCACGCACGCACGCACGCACGCACGCACGCACGCACGCACGCACGCACGCACGCACG